GGACATAGATACTCTACAGTGCGGGTGCGTGGTGCAATTTTAGTTAGTTCTTGCTGTAATCCCAGCTTAACCCCTACAAACAACAAAGGTTATGGCCATAATAGGATCAGGGGCACCCAATTAACGACGGATTTTTCCTATGTACATTGAAAACGCTTTTTAGGATATGCTAGGTACTAAATTCAGATCCCCCAAAATGGAAGCTAAGCAGCGCGATAAAATTTGTATCTGTTCGGTCATCCTTTGGCAACTTAACCGAACATTTTCGAATTTGCAAGGCTTCAGTATTATTTACGCGAAAAATTTAGATGCAATTTAAAAAGGTTTGAAACTGGTAAGAATTTTTCCATGATTCCTCTTTCCATCACATTTTCGAATCCGAAATTTTAGGGTTTCCTTTTTCGACGAAAAATAGCAAGTGAAAGTGGAGTGAAATGTGAAAATTTCAACTTAAGAAAATCGTTGGCAATTTATTGAATGCCTTGAAAATCGTGCATGAACAGAACGGTCATCTAGAAATTTTCAACCGTCCTCACTGTAGAAAATTCTAGGCAATAATTGCTTCTTTGAGCAGATCTTTTGCAGAAAACAATCGTTGGGTCTCCCCGAAGGATCTTTTCGCAGTAGGTTTCATTGTCTCATCTCACTAGGCATGCACGTTTCGTCCACGGACTTAAATGTTGCCACTTTGAACGACAGTGGATAGAGAGACTTATGAAAAACCACTCCGCAGAATATGCTGCTCGGTATGTTACGTTTTTGTTCCCATAGAAATACTGTGTTAAAATAAAATAGTCAAAATGGCAAATGGACACAGGCGACAGAGATAAGACCACATAAAGAAAACGACCGAAGTAGTACTTAACATTATAGCAAGCAGAATTCTCGAAAATGGTAGACGCAGCTCTTCAGTGGGATCATCAAAAGAATGAAAAGAACAGAAATTAGAACATGTAGATTTCAATTTTCCAGCAACAACAATTTGCCATCCGTCCCTTTCGAAATCAAATACTATGACACGTTAAGTTGTCGAAGTGTCGTATACAACTGTAGAATTTAGTGTTGCTGCCTCAATCGAACCTGAAAATCGGTCACTATCGTGTTTTGCTACCATATAAAAAGATTCATAACCAATTTACCAGTATAAACAGTTACAGTTCTACTTGTAGGAAATAATAAAAAAAATTCAAAATAATAGGTGCGGTTAATGCTTGATCTGGAATCTGGAATCTCACTGAAAAATTACGCGGGAGGATCGGTACTTTAAGACGTGGTGAACTTGTCCTAGCTCCTAGCCTACGTGGCAAATGAGACCTTTTCTTTCCACATTTTGTTAATTTTTTGCGATTTAAGTCCTGAAAGCCAACACCTGGCTTAATTGATGCTATGGTCAAATTGCTAAAGGAAGGGTCATCCAGCGTTGTTCGTTTGAGCGCTGCCAAGAAGCGGAACTCTAACTCTGCACTTTTACCCTGGCCACCCCGCGGTGTAACTTTTGAATCAAGCATTCAGAATTTAAACCTTTGATGTTATATAACTGGTTTACTCCATTAAGCGCCGTAGATGGAAGCAAAATTACTAATAAACGGCACTCTCAGTCAGAAGAATCAGGCGTTAATTGAGGATTATAAGAAAAACCTCGTTACAACAGTTTGTAATCTTGTCACCATTCAGACAATAACGATTCTATATCAGCAAAAAGCGAGACCTTGAAACTTTTAACATCTTTCTGTTTTACGTAATTTTTTAAAATGATTTATCCTAATTGCTCTCAGAGATTAAAGAAATGTCGTGAATTTAAAATAAACTTCGCCCTTGAGTAAAAACAATCGAAAACGCTAAAAGTACGCCGCGGCTTCTGCAAACATTTCTACACTTGAAACCTTACTCATCTCAAAGATTTAGTTTGAATATGAATTAAATAATGACCCTTCTGCCCTCTGCTGGCTTCTGCTGGATGCATACTAGGTGGTATAGTAGACGGTATTGCTTGACGATTCTCATTTCAGCTCTCGACACACGTCTTTTGGAACCGTAATTCACACTGAGTGCACTTATGAGAGAGCTTTACAAAGAAGCGCTTGTTACATTTATGACGCAAAATGCAAAAAAAAAAAGAACCAACCAACCAAGCAAAAAGACCTCTATGAATTACTTTCAGTTTAATGATCGTAATGAATAACCACTGCTAGAAGTATGATTAGAGCTTTGTTCTTATGTAGACAATTAACAACACTCTAGAAGTAGACTGAATATTGCTGAGTAATATCCGAGAGGGTAGCTTTTATTCAATGCTCGCCTCGTACAGGAATAGTGTTTACATCATAGATAGCAACAGACAAAGTATACTTTTCAATATCCGGCCAGGATACTTGCCTTTTTTTAAAGAGACTACTAGGTGTAGTTTAAAACAGGAAAATTCTATTGATTTTTTTTTTCGCGTAGAGTAATATAGTATCCAACGTTTTCCTGACTTTACAATGAGTTTGAATAGGATGTTTGGATTTTGTTTCTAATTTAAACATTTTCCTCTAGTGCTGACCTTTCTGAATCAGTGATACTCATGAGTACAAAGCATTCATTGAGTGGGACTTCCTGTTTTGTAAACGACAGCGTTAAGTCCTGTATATGACTAATGAACTAGATTTGATAGCGGTTATGTGCTCCCTCTTTTCTTCGTCAAGAAAGAGAGTTCGAACGCTGATCTGGGTAATAGCATGTGTTCGGATATGTTCGCGACGATGGAGCAAGCCTCCGAGCGACTTCTCGGCGCGTCTCGGCCTTGGGTGGCTGTGGTTGAGAGCGGAGCTACAATGTAGTTCTCTCTCCCACTCCCACTCCGGTAGTTCTTGTTTTGCTCGATAGACCAACCTTGACTTCTACTAATTAAAAGTGAAAGCTGAACAAAGGATTTTATTATTCGAGTTTTGTAAGCTATATTGCGTGAAACTTTGGAAAGGTCATGGCATGATAATGCTTGAGTGGAATAAAATCTGAAATTTTCATTGTTAAACAAGGAATTTGTTCAACTTAAACAACGAGTTGACCTCGGCCGGCTCTATGTGTCAAAGAACAATGGACAGGAAGACTGCAGAATGATTTCCGCAGCATTTTGTATTTATTAAGCTATGCATGTTAACCCGGCCTGAAATCAGTTGCACTTTATACTCGTGAACGTTAAGGTCGAGGGATGAAAGATCTCACTGAAGATGAAAATGGAGGTAACTTGCCATGAAATTTAAAAATTGCTTCTGGGTTTTACTTGCTCGAAATTAAGAGAAAAGGGCGATTAGTCATTTTTCCCAAAAGATGAGTCTAACTTTAAAAAGCAAATAGCAAACCTGAATAATTTCATCCATGATCTTATCAACTAGTTCTAGATGTTACTTGATTTTATTGATTCTCTGGATTCTCACATAAAGTGAAAATAGTTTTCTTTTTCACAGAAGGCCAGATTTCTCTCGTACATTTCTCAGCCTTTTTAAGTTTGTTGTTTTTTGTTTTTTTTCCTGTGGAACGAAGCTTAAAAATTAAACAGTCTTCGAGGAAGAAATTTTAAACCAGTTGCTCCGTTGCTGTCACACTCGCGGAGATACGAGTAAATACTTTTACCATCCTTTGTTGTGCTGTATAAGCTGTCTGGCGAAGTAAAGGACAGGGTTTGCACTCTCTAAGTGCCTGAACCATTTCCAAGCTTCTTCTAACCTGAGAAGAAAAATTACGGGCCATTTCTCTATTCATCATCATAATCTTTCCGTTGATTTCAAGATCGCGTTGATTTTTAAATTATTTTGAACTCTTTGGTGCCTATCATTACAGATGTTAGCTATTGTTCAGTTGTCTCCTGCATCAGCTTAACGAAAACAACTTGGATGGTTAAAGTTTTTCATCATTGCTTACATACATAAAGTTCTTCATTATCAGAGAAGCACTGTTTTATTAGAGATTCGTACACTTTTGTTGTTTTTTGGTATTGCACCCGCTCCGAGATTCGGTTTACTTGAAACGCCAGTGATTTTCCTCGCTTCAGTTCATTCTAAATTATGTGTAGTAAACTTTCCGCGTGTGTGATGACCTCTACCGGAAGTCTTTTCTGGGCGATTTGTCGTTCTTTAGATTTCTGTATCGTTATTCACCTGTCTAACAGTTTATCTGCCTAGAGAATTTGAAGAATGTGAAATCCTATTAGGTTAGTTTTTATTCTCATCATACTAATATTTTATATAGCGATTGATTTTTCTTGTTCCTGTCTTCATAAATTGAGCACCGGAACTTGAATCATATCCGGTCAGAACGACTTCCTCTGAATCGTTCGAAGCAAACAACAATAAAACTTTTCTGTATAAACCAATCTTCATAAACTGCTTTCTAAGTGAACACTTGAACTCAAATTTTCTTTCAACTTGACAATATCTGGCCTTTTGAACAACGAAACTCGATTGGATATTTCATTCCCCCATGATCTCATTTCCAAAGAAAGCATTTTCTTGTCCTTCCTCTTCCGGTTCCATAAGCTTTCAAAACTTCCTGTCTTTCTCCTTTCTCCCTGTCAACAGGTCTTTCTCTCTTTGCAAAACACAAGTTTTTTTCTCAATAGCTTTCCCCCGCTAAACAACGCATGTTTCCAAAAGGTGATACTTTTTCTCATAATTTAATCTCGCTTATAAAATAGTACACGGTGTGTAGTTAAGTGAGTCTGTCGCAAAGCAGTGCAAACAATGTTTTCTCGGCGTGGCGTTGTTATGACTTTTAGGTCCACGATTTCGGTTCATTAAGAATTGCGACACGTGATTTGTAATGGTTGCTGACAAGTTTTTAAATTATCAATTTTCGTTGTACGCTTAAACACTATTAATAGCGAAGAAAAAAAAACTAGCCAATGTTACAGTTTTTTGGTGTGTTTGTTTGTACATTTTATATTCCTGGCCTTATTGCTTTAAATTAGTCAGTCCATTTGAATAACGTATTCAAAACTTAACATTATTCTTAGGTTTCTTGAACTGATGCCTCGTGATGCTTATTTGATTCGATGGGTGATAATTGTGGAAGGAAAACTCACTGACTAATGTTTTTTAATTTAGGATAAAGAGTGACTGAATGTTTTATGTTGTGACATTCACGCACAAGAAACCATGCTCCATTCATATAATAACAAATCAAACATGTACTTTGTATTCATAGATTGCGACCTGGATGCGTTTAGAGACATCAAGCCGTTCCAGCAACTGCCCAAGTCAAAGGATTGCGAAAGATACAGTGATTTACCTACGAACGGTTTCTTGAACTGGGCAGCATGTGCACCCCAGGCTATTCGCTACACCGACATGCCTCCTCTTCAGCGCGTACACTCAGCTCCAAGAGAGGAGGTGATGTTTTTCAACGTACAGAAATGCTACGAGAAGGTGCAATGCCGAAAGAATAAAAAGTCGAAACAGCGTGTTCAGGGGGGTACAATCAACTTGAGAGTGACGACCGACCACCCGATAGCTAAAGTTGAAGTGTACGTGGAGAGACTGCCTAAAGCCGCGGTACTTTGTGGTGATAGTAATGGAAGAGTTCCCCTCAAGCTCAAAATGGAAAACCTTATGTATTCTGATGTAGGTATCAATTCTTTTGTCGTTAAGATGTTACTTATGCTGATAATATAGGCATGAGGGATTGTGCTTAGTTAGAACAGAGCAAAAACCCTTTAGTAATCTAAGAAGCCATAGACTACGAATAGTATAAAGAACCCACACCATAAGAATTAATTCACAGTGTCAAATGTTAGAGCCAAATTCAGAATGTACTCCTCCGATACAGACACAAATAAAAAGTAACGCGGATAAATCTGATATCGACCAACGTTAACGTTTCGGTGTCATGGTTAATTAGCCATTTTCAAAGTGTCAGGTCGATTAACTGAAATAGTTTGCTTTAACTTCCACAATGTTCAATATATTACAAACTTTGCACTGTACAATTATTTACAAATTAAATCAGATTGACATTAATACTGCATAAGGTACCACTCAGAAAGTGTCATTTTCCTTTCCCAGGACAAGATTTTATTCGCAGACTTAGACGCCAGAACAAAGTTACACTGTATACGACATAGGGGTAGCTTTCATTCTAATAATTACACTTTCAGACTTTCAACAAATTCTCAAAATTAGACCTGTCTTGTACACCATAATCAGCGTATAAAGTTTCGCTGTGAATGTTTACATTTTGTTTTATCCTCAGACTCAAAATTGGAGCCAACTTATCAGCGAAATAGAATGCTACTACTGATAAAAGCTCTGCTTAATAGCTTTAATAGTCTAGGATTTAACATTTTTCATGTGTTTAGAAACAGCATCTTAAAATTGCTTATGTTGTGATGTTGCTTGTGATGGTTTTCTTGTATTGTTTTGAAGTGATTCAACTTGACATTCTCTTCTATGCTTTTTCTTTCCCCATAGAATTATCAAAGACAGGACCAGTACTTCTCAGTGGATCTCGACTCTGTGTATGATAACCCGATAACTGGTCTCCCTGTGTACAAACTTTCTACTGTGGACTCCGACAGGCGGAATCGTTTCTGGCTTGTAGCGTATGTCATGTATGCTAACAGCCGCAGAAGTCAGCCATTCTACAGCGAACCATTTTTGCTCAAGAGCAAGAGAAGCTCCAAGTCTTCTCCTTATTGAAAGACATTTGTTGAAAGGCATTTATAAAAAGTATAAATTGTTTGGAAGGCAAACTGAAGGGCAACTTTTAAACGAAGGGAACGAACAGTGTGCTCGTTTTGCTAGTTCTTCGGTTACTCGCGTGAAAACATTTCAAACTACTGCTACTGTCAAGGTTAAGCACGTTTTGGCGCCAGAAAAAGGGAGATCACTTTGCATGGTTGCACTTGAATTAAAAAAAATAATTTTGTTGCCAGTAATACGTTAGTTTGAGAAACTGGGCATCATCTTGGGCGCTGAGATCTCTTGGATCGTTTAATAATCCTAAAGGTGATGTTACACGGGACGAGTCGCACCAACGTTTTCTAGCTCAACGCAACGTTGCAACATTGTTGCAACATTGTTTCAAATAGCTGTAACATTGTTTCAACACTTGCAACGCTGTCTTCCGCTAAGACTCGTCGTTGCAAATCGTCCCGTGTAACATCACCTTAAAGACCAAAAAAGATGGTGCCCAGTCTCCCTAAACTTTCAAGACTGGCGAGCTGATATATATATAATTCCGTAAATTAGCTTCGCCGGCTCTCCAAATTTTTTTCCCTTTGGTAAACTAGACAGAGGAAGAGACTAGTCGCAGTCTAAGAATCCGTAAAATAGCATGGATTTATTTAGAAACTATTAGCAATCCGAACTTAGGCCAAAGTAAGTAAAACACGCCCTATTTGCTACGTTAGAAACGAGAAGGAGACAGTGGGCCGAGGTAACCAGTGATAAGACTTCTGGGATTGTTACTGGTGACGTGCCGGTCAGCTATTGGCCAATTTCTTTTCTCTGTCCCCAGAAACAGTCCCAATAGTCTTTTCGAAACTTAACTCGGCCCAGCTTCCCTTTCATTTCTAAAGTGACGAATGACGTCAGAAAAATAAGAAGTTGGATCTATGGAAAGCTTTGCCTTTGTTAAGCTTAATACAGTTTAAGGTTAACTTTCACTTCTACGAAGTGCTTTAAAAGGGAGGTCCAGGATTGGCAAGCGTCTAGTACAATAAATACTTGGTGGCACCCCTCCCTAAGGCTGTAGACCGTTTGGGTCATTTTAAAGAGTGTTAAGTAAGCAGTATCTGTCTAATTCCTTGTGAAATATACTCAGTTTAATGCAAAATATAAATGGAGCATCGTCACTCAATTTAGAAAATATACCTACAGTTAAATTTTACAACAATGACAACAAAAAAATTCTACCAGTTTTCTTAAGACTTGGTCATCCACTGAAACCGCGTTGCAGACTTGCAAAACGGGATTGTTACTTCGCAAGTTGACCATCACTTTCGTGTTCTTTCCCTGTGTGCTTTGTTTCAAATTATTTGAGAGTGGTATAAGAGAAAATGTTCCTTCATAATATTACTTATAATAGTAATTATAATGAGAGTCTCAGAGACAATGCCCAGTTAATATTATTAACACCGAAAAACGATTTTCCAGGATTACATAAATATATTTGTCGGGTAAAACGATTAAGGCTAAAGGATGTAAATAATTATTTTTCACACGTTTCCCTTTTGGAGTGTCGGTATGTACGAACGATTAGATATGCTAGTATTTTCCTTTTTAGTTTTTTGTTTTTCTTTCGTTCTTTCTCTCTTTTTCCAGAAACCGGGTACTTTTAGGTATAAAAGTTTATGTGAATTATGTTAAATTCATGTTAAACTTAAACTTATTCTTCGTAAAGATATGTTATGTAAAGATATGTAAAGATGACAACATGGACTCATACTTAAATATTACTGTACAGATTTATTATTGTTTTTAATGTTCCAGTACCAAAGAAAACTGTGGTAGCCACGGAATAAAATACATGAAAAAATGTATATGAATGTACGTACATTTTGGAGAAACAACTAGCCTCCCACGCAGACGTTCTTAGGGCTTCGTCACGCAATCATTCCTCCCCCACGTGGGGTAGGAACGCGTGACGAACCCCTAATAACGTTTGCGTGGGAGGCTAAGAAACAACAGAATAGCAGTGCTCTGTTTATATGTTTACGCTGCAATCGACCCCCTATCCCTCCTCGATCCCCTGAGGTGTCTTTGTGTCACATGAAGGCAAGGCGGTGAGTGAGGGACTTGTTTCAATTATCTTATTTCATTTAACAACAGCCGCTGTGGAAGAGAAAGTATTCATTATGTTTCTGGCAACGAAAAACAAGCAGTTTTTGTAATTGTTGTTGTTTGCTTGTTTGTTTGTTATCTGTTTTGTTTTTTTTTTTTAATCAACAACAATAGCCGCAACGATCCGCAAACGGATATTGGGATGTAGGATTTACAAGACATCTGATCAGCTAAACAATACCAAGTGCACAACTCTGGAACGCTGATTCGGTTGTAGCCATGACAACTGTTTCCCGCCCTTTGCTGGCGAAACAAATATCAACGGCTGTGTCGTATTTATTTTTGCGTACTGCGATCAGCTTTGCAGATTTATAATGTTCAATCACGAACGTTTCCAGGCATGTGAGTATTCTAATCTCGATTGGCTGATGGATGCAGAGTGTGTTCTGATTACAATTTATCCCGATCGATGAGGTAAATGTGTTGTCGGTAGAAGACATTCTTCAAGTACAGATGACAGTTGTCATTCGTCTACGTGGTATTTTTGTTGTCCTTGCCATATTTTAGGCTGTAGTGAAGCTCAGTTTCCGCCCTTTTTTTCCAGCTCCATCGGAAAAACCCGTCCCCGGGGCGTTTCCTTTGCTGTCCCTTTTTCTGGCGATATAGCCTGGCACCCCGAAATCCCTTTTCCCTCCCTTTCGAACGCCTGCCACACCACGCATGTACTATTGACTTCATTTTACTGGATAAAGAATGAACCGGGGGATTTAAGCCAATCAGAAACGAAGAAATAAATTGAATGAATAGTAACTGGCAATTAATGGATGAGGCTGACTATAATATGAAAAATTTTGCACTGCCGAGGCCGATAACAGCCTCAGAAATCTGAATAATTCTTAACATTATACAAAAACTGCATTCAATGATTGGTTTATTCAATAATTCATTGAAAATATTTCTCACTTCAAAATGTACTTACCTTGATCTATGCAAAGTTCTCATCTTCTTAAACTTGCCTGTTACGCGGCAGTTTCACTAGGAGGAGATGTTCACTCTAGCAGTGCATTAAAAGTCGATTACTAGTAATCGGCTCTTGGTGCGCATGTATTAATGATCATCTGTCGAGGTAGTATCTTATTTTTGCTATATACTTTGGCAGTAATGCGGCTATTTCATATTCGCAAGACGTATCAAATGTTCTGCCATCTCCAGTTTTGAATAAAAAATAACCGAGCTATAGTGCCTTCTCTGTTCCTGTCCATACGAAAATAAAGGAGTTTCCGATCAAAACAAGGCCAACGTCAACCTCACGATCACTAAGCGACTAGGGTACTAAGCTCATAACTGTAAAATGGTTCAATACAGTAAAGTGACTCCTTTCAGGATATCAGCAAACATCTTCCAAATTTGGCAACGGTAACTGGTTACGAAAAATTACCCGGGGGATTTAAGCCAATCAGAAACCGAGATATATTTTACATGAATTAGCATATCGAGGACACAGTTATCCGCCAGCATACCTTAAAGATCAGGGGATAACGCCCTCCAAGATTTGCACAAGTCAGGGTCATAGGCCTGAGGCACAGCCCGGGGGTGAATAAAATTATTAGGCTTATTTTTGTTCTAGCGAGGATTCCTCAAGAGATCCAGAAATGTGCAGAAGAAAAATGCATTGTTTTTCAACATTCCGCACTTGGATTGGTGGCATTTGCCAGGCTCCAAGCTGTTAATAAATTATGTTAATTTTTCAAAGTCGCAAGTAGAATACTTGTTGTCAGTTGTCGAGAATGACCACAGGCCGCCCAGACGTAGTATGTGTCACTGAATGAATATATTAATATTCACATCGACAAATTAATGCGATGAGTCGTCGAAACTCCCATGGACTAAAATAGTCTAAAAGTCAAAATATAACAAAACAAAGCTAAGATACCTTCAACTGAACGTATCCTTGTCTTTCCTGGCCGGTTTAAGTGGCATTTTGTTGAGTTTTGCAATTGTAGGTACTATCCACTAAAGACGAATTAAAGGCTGGCTACAAAACAAACAGACCATCTCCACGCGCCTTCACACGAAGCGCTATAAATTCGAGAATAATCGACGAATCCGCTCTTAATAACCATCGGCTAATCTGCAGGTAACGTGTGCTCCTGCTTCTGGCTCGCTTGCTCCACAAAACTCATCGCAACTGCACAATAATTGCTCGCTCATCAATAACCACTGTTGACCGTTACGCTTCGATATGACCGCAAACGACCAGGTTTAATTAGCCTGCGTAGCAGGCGTCGAAAGGGGTAGGGGGTAGGGGATAGGGAGGAAGGGAAAAAGGGGAGGGGGATTGGGGAGAGGGGGAGGGGACGCCTGCTCTAAGAACCCCCTTTTGTTCATATCTGCGGACGCTGGCGTCCGCAAATTCCTGATTGGCTGAGCCGTAATGAGTAACATATTGAAATGCGCGTTTCACAAATCAACAAACAGTCGAGATGGCAGCGGTAGAAGTGGATGTCGTAGAGAGTGCTTTGAGAGATGTGAATTTATCTAGTGGTAGAGAAACTGTTTTAAAACCAGAGCAAGAATCAGCAGTAAGGGCTCTTTTAGCCGACAGAGATGTTCTGGCGGTTTTGCGGACCGGATACGGCAAGAGTTTAATTTACCAAATGTTTGTACGCGCGAAGAACTACGAGCTAAATGGTAATGCGGCGATTCTCGTCATTTCGCCACTGAAAAGTATTATCGAAGACCAGTTGCAGGAGATGGAATTGTTGGGCTACCCAGCGAAAGATTTAGCCAATTTATCAAGGTTCTGCAATTATACTGAGCAAATGTTATTTTAGCCGCATGTTTCACACTGAGAGGTCATGACATACATATCGATTGACTGTAGTTATTGTTTTCTGGTCGGCAGGATTTGCCCTCTGATGCAAGCGAAATTTCTTTGACCTCTTTTGCAGCGTAAAGCTTTTTTATTACGGCTGAATAAGGGTTCCAGTTTTCTCCAAAGTGCCTTCTGGATCTGAATAACTAAGCGAATTTCTTTAGTCCGTGAGTGTAATGCTTTTCTGCAATGGCTAGTGTAGCGACACTTGATTGACAGTAAGCGTAATCGGATTACTAGAAAATTGGTAGGC